GCTTGGACAGAACTGGGCTGACGGAACAAGGCACAGAGCATGCAAAGTTCCAGTCTAAGGACAGCAGTTCCCCCTTGATGCCGCTCCACATTAAAGCTAATGACAAATATAGTCCTGACGTTCAAACTGGTCTCTGAGAAACTGTTGGGCCTTCCATCCCACAGGCCGGGAGGCGGGATAATGACAGATTTGGTAGTGAAGGCTGGTGGGGACAAAATGCCACCCTGAAAATGTACCCTCTCACAAGGCTGCTGCCACCGGGACCCCTCAGAAAGACGTCCTTCATGACAGAGCCCTCACCCTCAGCCTTAGCAGCCAGGAATCCACCCAGCCCTGCAACCCCACCCACCATGGTGGTGATGGGTTCTAGGCCATAGCCAGTAAGGTAAACACAGCTGTGGGCTATTATGCTACAAAGTTGTATCTGCACCGACTTGCCAATTTTTGATCAAATCAGTCACTTGTTAGAGTCACCAGGGAACAGGGCAGTTATGGTCCCACATTTACTAACTTCCTTTTTCCTTACTCTCTGCCAATCCTTAACTCACCGTCTGCCTGGCTTCCTCTGAGCCCTGGGCCGATGCTCTTGCGGTTCCCCTTGCAGAAACAAGCAGAAGCCACAGTTTTACCCTCAGTTATCAACAGCATTTGGAAATTTGAATCTTCAAAGACTGAGCTCACCAGGCAAAACCCTTGCTTTGGGGGAAGTGGTTACACCGCAGAACAGGCACGCTGGTAATGAGGCCCCCTCCCTTGGTACCCCCTCGGCGGTGTCCCGGAGCACAGCCAGACAGGGCCCAGCAGCGACACTGCCCTCTCGCTGGTTTACTCGCTTTCCACTCACTCAACAAACAGTTACCGAGGATCTATCGTGTTCCAGGCACTGGGATTACAACAGGGTCTCAGAATGCAGCCCTCCCGAATCAAGCGGCACAACCTCCATTTCTGCCCTCGTGCTTTCAAGGATCTTGGCAAGGAAGCCAAGGAGGGAGGCCCACCCGGGTGTCAGTGGTAGGAGACAGAGAAGATAAGAAGAAAAGGAACTAAAGACAAAGAGAACTGCAAAGAAATGTTAAATGTTAACTAGCAGCTGGGTGGCTAATAGTAATATTGATATTAATATTTTTAAATTGTATTTTATATATGAAGGGATAATACAAAAAAGTAATTATTTATTGTTGTTAAGAACCAAAATTGTCAGTGTAAACAAAAACATATAAAAACCAAAGGAATTAAGTTAACAATCCTGGAATGTTAGATTTGAACTAGAAAGATCAACACTGTATCTATAGGTCACATTTGTACCTGATAACGTGGTATAACAAACAATCCTGAAATCTCAGAGGCTCAGAGCAACAACATTTATTTCAACATTTATTTAGGTCAGTAGAGTGACTGCAGTTCAGCTGATCTCCGCCAGGTTCACCCGGGCGGGGTCAAGTGAGGCTGGAATTCAGGCTTTGGGTTAGGGTCAGGTCATCTCTAATGTCCTCATTTGGGTACTCAGGCTAAAAGAGCAACAGCTGCTGGTACCTCACACAGAGCGGAAGCTCCAAAGGGGCTGGTGAAGCTTCATGCCTTTCACCACCTGCACACCATCACTTGTGCCCAAGTCGCAGGGCCAAGCCCAAAGTCCATGGGGTGGGGAGTGATGGCAAGGATGAGGAGGGAAGGAAGAACTGTGGAGAAACACCACCACCCACCCAATTATGAACTCATGACTTTTCTGTTTAAAAAATAAATCTTTCCTCACCCTGCCCAGCAAAAAGGCCTACAAGCAACAGCACAATGTAGCAATGAACATCCTCCCACCCAGACTGTGGTTCTAAATATTATTCTCCACTAAAAGAAATAGGTGCCCTGAGGAATGTCTGACTCCAGGTCTTCAGCAGGAAATTGGAGTACCTACTGTATCAAAGAACTAGGAAGCTATCAAAAAGTAATGGGATCATGTTAAAGGGATATAGGAGATAACATGAAAGGGCTCCCATTGGTTAAAGGCAGGATAATTTATGCATCAAAAAGAATAATGACTACAACTGATTGAAACACATCATTGAAACCAGCCCCACTCTAACCCTACAGAATCAGAATATCCAAGATGAAACCTAGGCAACTGGATTTTTTTCTTTTTACAGAGCTGTCCAACTGATCCTGAGGCACAGCCAGGGCTAAAAGGCACCAGCTCACAGGTTTCCCAGTCTTCTGCAAGTCCAGATCACTCACAGTGTCCATCTTGCTCTCAGATGCTGGCCACTGCTTCCTGGAAAGTTTTGTCTACATCAGACTTACAATTGTCCCTTATTCATGTGCTTCCAACTCTGGGGTGGTCCAGCCATAACGTGGCAGGCATCATCAAGGGGAAAAATTCCAGTTTTCAGTCTACTGACAACAGTGACTAGCTGAAAAGCTGGGACAGCTCCCAGGGTGCTCCTTTTAACCACAGTTTTGACTGTGACAATGAGGAACAAACGCTTCCATTTTTAGCCAACATATCATAGATCTAAGACATAAAAGTTTGGGGTTCTCCAGATACCTCAAAGCAATTCATTCTTAATTCTCAGTCTGCATCAGATCACCTGGTAAGCTTCTACAAAACAGGGTTGACTATGTTCTGGACTTTAACCCAGAGACTCAGATTCAACGGTCTAGGGTGGAGTCTGGGCACTCAGTGTTTCAAAGGCTGTCCGGGTGATTCTTATGTGCAGCCACGGTTGGGAGCCATGGCTCCAAGCTAGTCCTGAAAGCAAAACATCTCGACCTTCATGTCTTGTCACAACTTGAAACAAGATATGCCCTGGATCCGGTCCCTTCCGAACCACAGCGCCCTAGGGAGAAGTCTCGGTCTGCTGCTAGTTCTTGCCTCTGAAGGACTCCCCACCCCTTCCCTCCTGCATCAGCCCCAGCAGCCATCCCGGCCTCCCTGGGCCCACGTGGGTTCAGCGTTTGAGACTCATGGCAGGCTGCGCTGCCCTCCCTGATGATCAGGAAAAAGAATAAAGATCCAAACCTCTAAACTGCTCCATCAGAGCTAAGCAGAGAACACATAACTGGATTCAGCTGAGAACTAAGGCATCCACCACACTACTACTCCCCCAACAGGCTCCGAGAGGTAGTGAGTTGTGTGGGTTTTGTTTTGGGTTTTTTTGGTTAAGAAAGAATGGGTAATTCCACGTTAGAAGAAAACAGAAAAAGACTGGAAGCCAGCCAGTTCACAAAAGCAAACATAGCTCTGCCCCCCAAACCTAATGAACACAATACATGCAGGCGGGCACGCACACACGCGCGCACACACACACACATACACACACGTACAAACCACTGCCAGGTCTTTAACAAATGCTAAGCACAGACAGCAATACTCATTTTCCCCTGATTTGTAGCAGGTGAGAATGCCAGCCCTCAGAAGGCTTGGATCCTTTACCTGTCTTTGTATTAAAATATGCTGTCTTTCTCAAAATCATAACGGCTACCACACTGTAAGAAGGGCATCATGTTAGGAGTGTTCTGGAACTCACAGGATGGTTCTGACCTCACCCCCCTTCTCTGAAATCCACACCCCACTCACAAGGCTGGGTCCCCTCAGCTGTGCTTGCTTGTCTTGGCCACATACTCCTGACCCAAGTCTCTGAACCAGCACTAGCCATAAGACTCAGAGGGGCTGGACTAAGTCTTGCTAGTCCAGGTCTGGAAGGTGGCTTACGTGGGGACCACCAACATGTGGGCCCTTTGGGGACACTGGGTTGGACCCCGTGGGCAGACAGACAGGCAGGAGAGAGAAACGCAGAGGCGAGGCAAGGAGCAGAGAGATGTTTTGCGTCCTGGTTGGCCCCTTAGGCTCTAATGCCCACAGATTCTGAAAGTACCCCTTGATCCTTGTAATAAATTCTTCATCTGCCTATTCAGCTACTTGAATGGATTTCTGTCACTTGCTAACAAAAAAAGAACCCTGACTGAAATAACTGTAAAGCCGCGTTATCAACTGCTGAACATCTACAGGAATCTTTTTCAAAGACCAGAGTCAACTCTCTTCTCCTTATTAAATATGCCATTTCTAAAGATATACATATGCTTTTAATTTATATACATATGTGTTTTGCTGTGGCAACTGGCTTCAAAGTCAGAAACAAGGCAGCCACCAGAATGTGGGATCAACAGAAAGCAAGCTCTCTAGAAAGCTTTCCCTCCCATCTCCTTCTTGACAGTCGGCATCCTCAGCAGGGGTGGCCTGGGAAAAGGCACTCGTGTGGCCAGGCCTGACTCAGGCATCAACTGCCCGCAGCCCTGCCACAGGGGACCAGACATGGTGACATCCTCTGGAGAGCACAAACCTCTGGTTCAAAGAATGAGCACCTTCGACAATGGAAAGTTCCTTCACTCTCTTCAACAGGGGCTTAAATCGACAGCATGCGTCACGAGAGAAACTGGGCCACTCTAACATGGCTGACTAAACCAAACCCTCTCCTCCCAGACACAGTGTCAGCAGCACAAGGTAAAGGACAAGCAGTAAAGGACAAGGTACAGACCTCCGGCTGGATGGCTTTGAACACGGGTATGTCCATTAATGTGATCTGGCTCTGCAACAGAAGAGAACTGCTGTTAGAAAGTACTGGAAATCAACAGTGTAGCTGTCATGTGACTTTCAAACTATACAAAGTAATGACACACTTAAAAGTTATGCTTTCCCCCTTAAAATAAAAACCAAGGTAGAAGAGAGTAAAAAATTGGGTAAATTTTGAAAATGCCTCGCCCATCCCTTCCCTCTTCATGCATCTTGAGCCGTACCCTTCTTTCTTGAATGTGAGATGAATTTCCAACTTAGCAATTGACAGGAGTAGCTTGGAGGGAGAGATGGAGAGTAAGGGGAACATTTTTAGTCTGGATATTTTTGTACTATTTGAGTTTTTATTTCAAGCATGAATTACTTTTACAATTTAAAAAAGTTGTAGACACAGTATTAAAAATTTGAAAGCTAAACAGAGACACTATCTATTACTTTAAATTTAAAATTTTTTTAAATTGTGGCTTATAGAAAGTGTACATTTCTTCTGAAGTCTAAGCCTCCTCTAAATTATATGGTAGAATTCTATCCAAGATGCACCCACAGACCAGTGTTGGATCACAAACTGCTTATTCCACCAGCCCACAATGACATAACTACAGAATCTGAGAGCAAGCATTTGGAAACTTTTATAGCAATGCCCATGACATTGTCATTGTATTTTTTTAAAGTATCAGTCCTTAAGATTGGAAATGAAAAAACTGGTCCTTTATCGCAGCTAGCTTGAGAAGCACTAAGTTGGTCAATACAGAAAACACACACCCAGTTAAAAGGTTGTTCCCATCGCTAGACGCCCATCAGATGACAGAAAGAGAAGGCACCGTTGCTGACAGTTTTGCAGGTCAAGGTATGGACTGGGCTGACTTCACATGACCTGCCTATCTCCGTATGTCAAACGGGATGCCAGGTACCAGGTAACCGAGGCCTCTGTGCCAGACCAGGGAAAGGAGGGCTAAGAGTCTCTGAATGTCCACTAACGAGAGGACACCTGTCCACTGTACAGGCATCTGGGAGGACACGATGCAGTGAACAGATGTGGGCTCTGGAATCCAGGGGGCCGGGGCGTGTATCTGGACACCATCGCTTAACAGCAGTATTCTCTTTGACACATGACATTAACCTCTCCAAGTCTCAGATGCCACATCTAGAAAATGGTGACAATAATCCTTATCTTCTGGATCTTTGTGAAAATTCAAGACAAGAGGTACAGAGTGCCTAGCACGTCACACACACACACACACACACACACACAACCCCTACATATATACATACACACATACATATACAGAGAGAACATGTTAGGTGACAGGCATTCTGCACCTCTTGAATTGTCACAAAGATCATATATATGTTTGTATATTTACATGTTTATATATCATATGTATTTTGGCAAAAGAGAAGTCACATAGATTGGGCACATGTACTGGCACATGAGCTTATGGTTCCTGCCCCAATACCTGAGCTAGGAAATAAGGGACCATTAATTTGTTTGAATATCCATGCTTCAAAGTTGCTTTTAAAGAAGGCTGTTACATCAAGTCAGCAAATATTATCTTGAGAAAAAGCCTTGTAGCAAGAATACACTGAATAAAAACGGCAACACACATGGTAGGTCAACTGTAACCACAATCCAGGGCTTAGGTGCAGAATTGTGGTCACCTCTTGGCACGATTTACAGGAGGTCCAAGATCACTGGATTCCTGCGAAGACAGAATGCAAGCCAACACATACCATCGCCAGGGCTGAGCAGGGGAGGGAAATGAGTGAGGCGGCTCCCGTCAGAGCCTCTTCGGCCCTCCAAGGGGCTGGTGCTCTTCATGGGCACAGAGTGAAAAGCCACCACTAGTGGAAGCTCAGAAGAGGCTGTGGATGGCCCCAGGGTCTGGGGAGTCCGAGTTCTTCCACCACTGGGTCCACCCACCAGTGGTAAGAAGGCACTGGACGTCCGCCCAACATGAATGACTACTATGCCTTGAAGGCCCATGGGCCTGTGTGTCTGGCCCAGAGCTACAGGCCCAGAGCTCCGTCCCGGGCAGTGCAAAGAGACTGGCATTTCTCCTGCCAGACCCATGGAGATTGTTAGCCAAGTGCTCCTCATGTGTGGATAAATTCCGCCATCCTGGGGAATAGAAAGGCCTTGTGAAAACAGGAGATTTGAGCTGAAAGCTCAGAGGGCCTTGGAAATCTCTCCCATAGTTCAAGTTAACTCCTAATCCAGAAGAACCGGCAGGATGTTTGCAATGTCATTTAGGAAAAGAACCAAAATTCTGCTAATGTGAAAATGAGAAAACTTCCTCTCCATCCTGCCTTCAGTCAGAGGATTTGCTACTGAATTTCCAAATGATTTACTAAAATAATGACTGTACATTTCATAGTTTTTTAGATGGTCCAAGTTTCAAACATTCTGATCCCTGCTCAGACCACAAATAAGAAAATGTGTTCAGGTATCTTACTGAAGACAAACAGTAACAGAGGTCATCACACTTAAAATAGATGGGCTGGTCCCAAACACACAATCAGAGGGTTATCAGAAGAATCTCTCCCATTTCTATCCTCTCAACTTTGGCCAAAAAAGATGCAGTGTCCAGAGCAAGAATACATCAATACATACATAAAACCATCAGATAATAAATTTCATGTTATTTTACTACAAAGCCAAACGCATGTGGACAAGATTTCTATGAGTGGTCCTCCCCGGAAGCTGGAACACTCCAAGACAGGCAGTTTTACTAAAAGGGAGCATTTGGGTAGGCAGGGGTGGTGGCTTGAAGGGCAAGGTCAGGTCCTGTCCCTTTTCACAGCTGGCTCCCAGCCTCAGGAGACCCGGCCCCTCCCTCAGGGAGATGCCCTGGCTTCCTGGGGAGAAAGGGCATTTCCTAGGAGTGTGGTACAGCCTCGACAGAAGCACACAATGGGCTCTCTTGTTTCCAAGAGGCAAACCTGCCGCAGTGGGAGCACGTGCCTGCGACGGGCACGCTCGTGAACAAGTCTCTTAATAGTTTCTCCTTATTTTCGGAAATAAAGCCTTAATACAGGACGCCCAATTAAGTTAGTCATCTGGCTGTACCTTCCTTAATCCTAACCCTTTCTCCCATCTACTTCCTCCTGGTCCAAGGCCCCCTAAAAATCCAGGCTTTTTGAAGAAAAGCCAATCTCCACACATTACAGGGCGTTTCTGTAGGGATGAAGCCTGCAGAATGGAGAGACCTAGTGAAGCATGTCACAATGTGGCCCCAAGAAAAAGAACAAGGTGATTTTATGTGGATAAATGACAGCAAATTAGCCAAGAAGAAAACAAAATGTTTTTTGCATATGTTGAATGTAGC